TCTCCATACATACATTCCAACTTCAACAATAGACAACTATCAAACAGTTTCTCTCCATACATACATTCCAACTTCAACAACTATCAAACAGTTTCTCTCCATACATACATTCCAACTTCAACAAGTAGACAACTATCAAATAAGTTATACTCTTATACCAAAACATACTTACCTCAATTGTCTCTTTAGCTATTCCTTGATGTTGGCTTTGCCTATCTAAGCATTGGTCCTTCCACCTGCGTCAATGCGCCCTCTATTGTGACACTGTATATAAGAACCTCACTCAGATAATGTAATCACTTTTTTCTGGATAAAGCGTTTGTCACAGTTTTTTTCTGATAAAGTGCTGTGGTTCATTCTATTATAGATTGCGATTTTCATGTCACCTTGTGGGTTTCTGTATAATGTCCTTAAAAAAAAAATTGAAGGGGTTATTGGGGGGTATGAATTCCCATATTACTATTGTAAGCACAGTGGCTAATCCAACCTCCCCTATTCCTCCCTTGTTATTTAACATCTCTACAGTCGGGGGTGCCACTCTCAGTTGAGACTGTCTGTGTTTTGATCCACTGGGAGATGAACACATACATTTGACCTGGAGGTATTTTCTCCTGGGGCCTCTGAAGTTGCCTTTTTTGTAGTTCCTGGTTATTCTAGGGAGAATTTGGACTCGGTTTTTCTGACACTTTTCTTTACTAAGTCGGTTTCTCATGAGTCCAATTTGGATTAACCACCTCCTACTCCATTTCTTCAATTAGTCATTTGGGGGCTTTTCTCTGTGACCTTTGAGTTTACTCCTCCCTTGATAGTGGAACAGTCGGGAGAGGGAGGACTATTTAGTTTTTCCTTCTTCACCTGATATCCTGGTTCATGTTGAGAGATTTACTGCTTTATTACTGAATGGGATAGATATACCTTGTATCCTTGTTTGTTTGTTGGCATGCTTTGGCTTTCCACCTCCAGGGGGACATATTTTTTCAATTCCACCGATTAAAATTATTTAATTTTGGATATGTGTGGTCTATGTTGATAAATGTGATCACTATGAACCAATCACATTTTTTTGTGTATTTATTTGCTCCTCACTCTTGCTCTGTTATGTTCCCCCACAAATTGTTGGCAGCCTATCAATTGTCCCCACAATAATTTGTGGATTAATGGGGTCTCCTACTGACTTTTACTTTGGTCAGATTGCCTTATTTGTTCCTTCTTTAGAGATACCTTGGTGAAGGGACTTTGTCTACCTGCTGTAGCCTCTGGGTGTTACATCTGGTTACTTTATATCATTACTTGATGTTCACGGGTGTCCCAGAAGCATTTGTATTGCAAATTACTGTCACCCATTTGTTTTTTGTTGTTGTTGTTGACTTCTTGACCTCTTTGGCTCTAGCAGCTGAATAGACTCAGACCTTAGTTTTAGGGCCACTTTGTTTGAGCCGATCGATCTAGGTGGGGGATGTAGGTCAGTTAGAGTTAGGTTACAACTACTGATGAACACTTGGTATTCCTTCACTGCAAATCCATGGGCACTTCAGATTCTGGTATAGAAGTTGGTCTTTCCTTTCAATTCTCCACCTCCATTATCCTCTCACTCTGTGGTATTTCCACCTCCACCTAAACTGTTTCACGGGTATTTTATTCCTGTTTATTTGTTGTGCCTCAGACAAGGGGAGATTTGCAGATGACCATCGTTCTTTCTCATCTCAACTCATTCTTTGTTTCTCCCTAATCCACAATAGATTCCTTTCTCACCCTACATTGGCATTCTTCACCAGGTCCGTGGATGCCCAAGTTTGAGGTTGCTGAGGCATTTTTCCACATGCTAATAGTAAGTTCATCTTGCTTTTAGCTACGTTTTGTATACAGGGGTCAGGTTCTGCAGTTCATGGATCTAGCTTTTGGTCTAGCATCAGCGCCATGTGTCTTCTGAGGGGTTGTACAAGTTTTCTCCATGTTTTATGCCCAGTGCAGCCACCTCCCAACCAGCTCCAGCCTATGGAATGGACAGCCAGACTCTATCTACAGGGAAAGTTCTATCTCTGGGGTTGTGGGCTTCTCTCAAATCTTTTTAATTTTTTGGGATGAAGACACATGTATCTCTTCAGTGGTCCCATTGCAACTAATGGATCTGGAACTTAAATCCACTGGATTTTCTAGTCTTTTTCATCAGAAGCAAAATTTTAGTTTTTGAGTGGTGATTGGTGTGAATCATCTCTATCATTAGCATGTGAGTGTGAGTGTATGTATGTATGTGGGGGGGTATATATATATATATTGTATGTATGTGTGTAAATGTATACTGCCCCTCTGTCCATAGTTTTTCTTCACAGATACTTCACTTCGAGATGCAGTGTGGGTATCTTCAAGGTCAGGAATTCCAGGGTATATGAATGGAGGAAGAATCTTCATTCTAAATCAATAATTTAGAACTTATTGCTGTCCAACAGGCAAGGTGTAGATCGCTTGCAGGGGAATATCCTCATGAAACATTTAATCAATTACAGTGGTCTCTTAACTTTGTTTCTTTCTCTACGGGGCCTATTCCAATCATGTCAGCTTCCTGGCTTGCCATTTTCCTGGGGTGATGAATTTTATAGCAGATTGTCAGTCTTAGTTTCACTTTCTTCTGAAGAAATGAATTCTCTGTTGTGCAGTTTTCTGATAAATTTGTTCTCACTTTGGGCCTCCAATGATAGCTTTTGCCACTCATTGGTACTCAACTACAAGTTTTGGAGTCTCCACTACCTCATCCTCAGGCTTGGGTGGTAGATGAAATCAGTCCTGCTTGAATGGGATTGCACATCTATGACTTTCCCTCACTCCCTCTGTTACTCAGAGTTTGATCTTCTACTTGCAAGATGATGCTAGCCTAGCCATGTTTCCTTTTCTACAGTTTCTTCATGTGAGCCCACCTCTGCATCTTACTCTTTGGCTATCTTTATTGAAGCATCCTCAACCCAACATTCTACACCAAGTATTTTCCCAGCTCATTCGAGTTTAATGTCTACAGTTGCCTGGGGCATGCCTCACAAGGCATTTGTACCCACTTTACCAAATGTGTTCACCATATTTTGTTTTGACCTGTTTTTTACTTGGGTTTAGCTTCTTCTCCTGTCATTTAGGTCAGACAACTTTCTCGTCTATTTTTAGGTATCCTAAACATCTGAAGGTTTTAGACACCCCAGTGCTACCTAGCCTTCTTCCCAAATGACCTTTTCCATTACTTAATCAAAATATTAAGGTGGTACTACATGCCTTGTCTCGACAACCACTCGAACCTTTAGCTTCATGTACCATGTATTACCTCTCCCTCAATGGGTATTTTGTTGCTGCTGACATGCTGATGTCATTGGTTGGAGTTGTTGGCATGTTTGTTGGACTATCTTTACCCTTAGGTCCTTCTATACCCTGGTAGGTCCTTTCTTTCTAAGCCTTTAGCAACAAGAGAAGGGGATACATCCCTCTCCACAATTCTTTTGCCAGATATTTCTCACCTCTACAATCGATCATATACTGATCATTTGATTTTGTCCTGTCAGGCCTGGAGATGTTATGCAGCTCACTCTAACTGCTTTTGTAGTAATAGTTCTTACCTTTATATTTTTTGGGATCCTTCAGTTTCCCAAGAGTTATCTCCACTTCCTTGGAGGTGGATTTGCATATATCAATGTTGCATATTCTGGATTTTACAAGTGAGGAATCTGCTTAGAGTTACATCTCATGAGATTCAGCACATTTATGTCTTTCACTGCCCATTTCTTTTATTCACTGGGGGCCATTTTATGCGCCTGTCAGTGGACTCCTCCCAGTGCTTTTCTCTGACATTCTTTATATGATCTGGCAGTTTTCTTCTGGGGGTTTTCCACTACCCCCATGACTGTTTGAACAACATCTGCTAGATTATATGGAGGAGGGAGTAATCTTATAGTCTTTCTTTTCCAGGGTCTCTTACATCTTGCTTTCACTGGATCACACACTGTAGCGAGTGTTGCCCAAACAGGTGTGCTTTAATCAATCCAATTCCACACTAGCAACCCATTTAACTATACTTACAACAGGCTCTGTAGAAATGAGGTGTTCCATAAGACCATCTAGGTGCTTACCAGTTGGTATTACCATATTATCATGGACTATCATGAGTAAAGCTAAAGGGGATTCTGCCTGTCCCTGCCAATCATTGAATAAATCAGGGTCAGTTTTCTTTTAAAAATTTAGCGAACTTAGTTCACATATTGCATTGTTTCCAGAGTACTGTTCCTCAGTATTGCCCAACATACATTTTCCCCAAATTCTACTAGTGGAGCTAGGGAGTCCTTACCACACCCAGTTTCCAGTTTCTGGGGTAGTGGACAGATGCTTTTCCTCCAGAGTGTTCAAGTGTGTTCCTCCACTCTTGGAGAAGAGGGTGAAGCTGGGGGTCCTCCTACTTGGGTCCCAGGATGTATTTCCCAGGTGTTGGTAGGAGTGGTACCAGCCTCTGCAGAAACCTACTCATAATACCAGTTCAGATTTGATCCTGTGCTATCTGGTTGGGGTGTGCTTGGCCCTTCTTATGAACAATGTCACGAACAATATTGTTCATGGATGGAGGTCCAATATCTCCTCATAATTCTAAATGCAAAATGGTCCCATCCTAGTTCCTTGATTGAACACAGTGTTCCACATCCTCTCCATTATTCTGGGGGCAAGTGGGATGCTCCTTGCCCACTCAGTTGGAGAGTGAAGGTGAATGTTCATAATTTCAGACCAGATGAGTTCTGTTCCTTTGGTTGAGTAAGGCATACATGATCCTGTCATTCTGAGCCTTGGGTGGTGCCTTTCAGACTTCAGGTGGAAGAGAAAGTTTGTCACTTCCTTTCTCATCCTGATTCCGATGATTCGGAATGCATCACTCTATGGCTACAGGTTGGGATCCTAGCCACCAACCTGGAATATGGGGACCAAGACCCCTTAATTCCAACCCTGAGTTGTGGAACCTTAGCTATCTGGTTGGGATTAGGCTATAATATTTACTCGTGTACTATTCCACCCTTGATTCCAATATTAAGTACTGGGTGAAGAGCATACCTGTTCTGGATGTAGTTCGGTTTCCCCCGATTGGGTACCACTCTTATCTTGGTACAACCCTGTTCTATACAGACGCTTTCTGTATGGATATGCCATCACCGGCTCCTCCACCTTCCCAATGTGGGCTTCTAGCTAAAGTGTCAGTGGAGGGTAAGCATGTTTTGGAAGTTAACATTTTCCTAAATTGAAAATGTATTTCCAATAATACTTATCTCCACTGACACTCTCCTGCCCTTCTTTCCCACTAAGAGACGGTCTTAGTGACTGGGATGGTGTAAGTCTCAAAAATTGATTACTTTATCTGAATGAGGTTCTTATATACAGTGTCAAGATAGAGGACATATTGACGCAGGTAGAGGGATTTACAAATTAGATATTGCCAAGGGAATTTAAGTGCAGTATAAAAAGACTGGAGCATGTAAGACCAATGCTTAGATAGACAAAGCCAATGTCAAGGAATAGCTAAAGTGTCAGCAGAGGTAAGTATTATTGGAAATACATTTTCAATTCAGGAAAATATTAATCTTTTTTGTTTCTATTTTCAATTAATTCCTTGCAGTCAAAATTAAAAGACAAATAAAAATAATTCACCTTGGGCAGCAACCTCAGACACAGGAACACCCAACTCATGAGCCATGAATCCCACAATACTAAAAATAACAAATCCAGCAAAGATGCTGGTGCTACAGTTACCAAAGGTGATGATCAAAGAGTCCCTGAAATAAAAAAAGGTGGTATTAATCTTAAAGGTATATAAGTCAATGATGAAATTCCATATAGACATTATATGTTTAGGATTAATATTTTATATTTATGAAACAAAGCACTATCTATCTACAATACCATATTACCTACCTAAAACAGTTGTTATGGAAACGGTTATAACTTGCCAAGGTGATCAATCCTCCCCAGCATGGAGACAAGGAAAAGAATATTTGCATTGCAGCATCCGCCCAAACCTAAAAAAATCAGACTAATATTTAACACACCAATAAAAAAGTTATTTTAAAATTAAAGTTTAATACTCAACAGTTTATAGTATTGAAATATTATTACTTAATAGATTCCAGACTTTCAGATGAAAACATCAATGTTTTAAACCAACCAGACTGAAAAAGTATTAGGTGAAAACACCAATGACTCAAATTAAAAT